TATAAAGAAAAAATATTTGTAAATGCATAAAATATTTCTGGAAGGATATCTTTCTCTGTCAGTCTCATCTTTTTCTCATACCCTATATTCTGCTGATACTAGATTATTGTGTTTCCCAAAGAACACTCTTTAGCCTCTCATTCTTTTCCATTCACTCCATTTCTATTGATCCTATAGGTCTTAATTCAAGTTTAATTTTCTTTGGAACTACTTTTTTTGACTTCAAAAGTGCCTTTGTTGTGCCTAATGCCTTCGTAACACATAATGCATTATTTTCTGTTACTTTATTGTGCATCTCCATTCCACAGTGAAGTTCTTGAGGGTCATTTCTATTTTACTTACTATTGTGTATATTTAGCATCTGATATAGCATTGTATACCATAGTGACTCCAAATACATGTAGAATAAATATGTGGAAATATTACTAAAAGTCTTTGAAAATGCTTATAAAATCTGCCTCACAAATTACTCACAAATAATGCTGTAACAAAAGCAAGATAGTAAATATATTACAATGTTATTTTGTAAAAGCCAAATATGTTAAATATATAAATATTAAGTCATAAAAGGGAAATATACTGCAATCCTAATTTTATGAAATAGTCAAGTATTTCAAGATTATTAGTGGTTACTTGGGCTGGGGCCACCACTTGTCTGTCGGTTTGTCATACTCTGCTGGCTTGCATTTTGCTGTGGTGCTGGAAGCTATGTCACCAGTATTTCAGATACCTGCAGGGTCACCCAGTGAACAGGTTTTAGCAGTGCTTCCAGACTAAGACCAGACGCTGAGGAGGGAATCGGCTGCCCATTTCTGAGGGATTCGCCCCTGGAACATTGTCAGGTATACAGAAAACTTTATGAATAGCAGGGGAACATTGTCAGCTATTTTGCTGGAAGTTGAGCCCCTCTGGACAGAAGGCACTGAAAATATGCCCGAGGACGAGCTGCTCCTCAAAGTAGAGTCAGCCATAATGACTTGGATGGAGTAAACATTTCAGGACTTTCATTTGCTGATGGGACATGACTCAAAATGAGAAGAAACAGCTGCGAAACAAAACAGTGCTGTCAAGTTCATTCTCACTCAGAGTGACCCTGTTAGACAAAATAGAACCACCCCAGTCAGTTGACAAGGCTGTAAATCTTTATGGGGCAGAAAGACTTTTTCTCCTACAGAGTAGTTGGTGATTTTGATAGGCTGAACTTGGGGTTAGCAACCCAACTTGAAAACCATTTGTCACCATCTATTAATAATCAAAATGTGGAATGTGTAAAGTATGACTACAGGAAAATTTAAAGTCATCCAAAATAAAACGGAATACCTACAGATCAATGTCCTAGGCATTAGTGAACTGAAATGGACTGATATTGGCCATTTTGAATCTGTCAATCATATGGCTACTTATGCTGGGGAGTGGCAAATCCAAGAGGAGTGGCATGGCATTCATTGTCAAAGGAATATTACAAGATCTGTCTTGAAGTGTAAAACTTTGATAAGGTAATGTCTATACTCATCCAAGAAAATCAAAGTAATAAACTATTTTTCAAATTTCTGCAATCACCACTAAATCTAATGATGAAGAAATTGAAGACTACTGCCTTCTTCCGTGTGAAATTTATCTAACATGAATTCAAGATGCATTGATAATTGGTGATTAGAAAACAAAAATTGGGAACAAACAGGAAGGGACAGTGGTGGGAAGGTATAGCCTTGGTGATAGAAACAGAGCTGGAGACCACATCATAGAATTTTGCAAGATCAATGACTTCTTCATTATAAATATCTTCAAAAACATAAATGATGACTATTCGCATGGACTTTGACAGACGGAATACCAGGAATCAAAGTAACTGCATCTGTAGGTAAGAACTCTGGAGAAGCTCAATATCAGCAGTCAGAATGAGGCCAAGGGCTGACTGTTGAACAGACCATCAATTGCTCCTATGTAAACTCAGGTTGAAGTTGAAGAAAATGAAAACAAGTCCACAAGAGCCGAATACAACCTTGAGTATATCTAGCATGAATTTTGAGAACATCTTAAGAACCGATTTGATTAGTTGATCACTGATAACAGAAGACCTGATGAGTTGTTGGGTAAATGAAGAGAGCAAAGGGTCATTAAAAAAAAGAAAGAAGATCAAAGTGGAAATCAAAAGAGACTCTGAAATTTGCTTCCAAATGTAGTTAAGCAAAGGGAAGAAATGATGCAGTCAAAGAGATGAACAGAAAATTTCAAAGGACAGCTGGAGACAAAGTAAAGTACTATAATAAAATGTGCAGTGATCTGGAATGAGAGCAAAATAGGAAGAGCATGCCCAGTATATCTCAAACTTAAGGAACAGAAGAAGAACATTAAAGACTTGAGTTGTAATATTGAAAGACTATCTTAAAAAAAAAAAAAGACTGTCTAAGCAAACTATTGAACAAAATTGGAAGCACCAAAGAAGATAAAACGAATACAGCGAGAGAAAAAAAAGGATACACTGAGTGACTATCAAAATGAACTAGTTGATATTCAACCATTTCAAGATGTAGCATATTAGCAAAAACCAATCATACTGAAGGAGGTTCAAGCTGTACTGACTAACACTCAAACTCACTGCCTTCGAGTCAGTGCTGACACAGCAACCCTGTAAGAACAGAGTGGAACTGCTGCTGTGGGTTTCTGAGACTGCAACTATTTGTGAGAGTAGAAAGACCCATCTTTCTCCATGGAGCTGCTGGTGGTTTTGAATGTTGGACCTTGTGATCACAGCCCAATGTGTAACACCTACACCACCAGGGCTCCTGGCTGTACTGAAGACATTAGCAAAACACAAGGCTCCAGGAATTTGGTGCACTACCAATTAAACTGTTTCAATAAGCTGATGAAGCACCGGAAGCACTTGTCTAACTAAGAAAGTTGGAAGACAACTGCCTGGCCAACTGCCTGGTAGAGATAGATATATTTGTACCCACTCTGAAGAAATGTGACCAAGAGAATGTGGGGGTTATCAATATTCTAAATATCCCATACAAGTAAAATTTTGGTGAAGCTCATTCAACAATGGTTGTAACAGTACATTGCCAGGGAGCTACCAGAAATTTAAGCCGGCTTCAGAGAGAATGTGGCACCGGGATATCATTGCTGACGTCAGGTGGATGTAGAGAATACCAGAAAGGTAGTTCCTTCCGTTTTATTGCCCCTGTAAAGGAATTTGTGTGGATCATAATAAATGGTGGCTAATACTAAGACTGGAATTTCCAGAACATTTAATTGTGCTTGTGTAGAACCTGTACATGGACCAAGAGGCAGTCATTTGAACAGAACAACAGAACAGAATGCATGGTTCAGGAATATTGTGCATCAGAATTGTATCCTTTTGCTACATTTATTCAATTTGTATGCTGAACAAATCATCTGAGAAGCTGGCTTCCGTGAAAACATGGCATTAGACTTGGTGGCAGTCTCACTAACCTTTGACGGGCAGATAACAGACCTTGCTTGCTAAAAAAGAGAAGGACTTGGAAGTACTAGCTGGTGATGATCAAGTACTATAACCTTCAGTATGGATTATACCTCCATGTAACCCAAACCAAACTCTGCCATCCACTCAGCACTGACTCATAGTGGCCCTATAGGACAGGGAGAACCAAATCGTCACTCTGTACAGGGGTAGAGAGCCTTGTCTTTCTCCTCAGAACACTGGTGGTGTATAAGCAGCTGAGCTTGCAACTCGCAGCCCAACGCATAACTGTTGCATCACTGGGGCTCCTTACCACTCAATGTGAGGAAAGCCAGAATCCTTACAACTGAGCCAACAGCCATGACAAACAGAAAAAAATTGAAATTGAATTGTCAAGGATCTTGCCTGAATCCACAATCAGTGCTCACGGAAGCAGCAGTCAAGAAATCAACATATTGCATTGTGCATATCTGATATGCATGCCTCACCCAAGCCATGATATTTTTTATTGCCCCTATGCTTGTGAAAGTTGGATATTAAATAAGGAAGACCAAATAAAAATATGTCTGAATTATGGTGCTGGCAAAGAATATTGAAGGTCCCATGAACTTCCAAAAAGACAAACAAATCTGTCTTGGGAGAAGTACAGCCAGGATGCTTCTTGGAAGTGAAGATGGTGAGACTTCATCTGAAGTACTTTGGACATTTTATTAGAAAAGATCAGCCCTTTGAAAAGGACATACTCAGTAAAATAGAAAGACCGTGAAAAAGAGGAAGACCGTCAACCAGATGAATTGGCATGGTGGTTGCAAGAATGGGCTCAAACATAACAATTGTGAGATAACACAAACTGAACAGTGTTTTATTCTGTTGCACATAGGGTTGTTTCGGGTTGGGAACAACTTGACACCTAACAACAACAGGGCTGAGAAAGAAGGGATATAAAGGAGGCATTGCTTAGGGTACTAGCTTTTGTTAAGGCTGATGGAGAGGTTTGGAAACAGCAAGTCATGGTATTTACAAGACCTTGTAGTATAATTGATGTCACTGAAATGTATTTTTTAAATTGAAATTGCACGTTTTTTGTTACACTTATTTTTACCACAGTAATAAAAGCAATTGATTTAGAGTATCGTCTGTGAAACTATCAAAAAATAAAGATTTGCAAAACAAATTAGGAGCAAATGTGAGTACTGCCACACTCCTTACCTTAGTGTGATTTTGTTTTTTATTGTTTTCTGTTGGGCTTCCTAGCTGTGAAGTGCAGGAGGAGTGGATGCATAATGAGAATAACTGATACAAGGGGGTATAGGGAATGCAGGGATGGGGGGTAGGCGATAGGGAGGGAAAGGGGATTTCAGAAGTAAGTAATGAAAGGAGAAGGGGGAGGGAGCACTAGAATTGATTATGAGTGCACAACTCATTTTAAAGGACATTTAACCTTGGTGTGTGGGGGGGTGGAATGCTCTAAGATAGATGTGGTGGCAATTGTACAATTCTTGATATGATTGAACTACTGAGTTATATGACATATAGATTATGTGCCAATAAAACAGTTGCAGGGCGGGGGGAAGTATTACCACAGTTTGCAGAAGGCTATGGATGACAGTGGAAGCCCAAAACTCATTTGCAGGGTCCACACATGGAGTAAGCCTCAGGTGAACATAGTCCAGCAAGGTGAATAGCCTTGTTACAGTCAGGGAACATTATAAAGTGGATTATGGCAGATGTAGTACGTTTGTAAAAGCTTATCATTTTCTCTCTTTACCCATTTTAAAGTTGCTTCAGTTCTAAATATTTTCTGCACTCTTCCAATGAGGCTTTTCTAGGTTTTCTCTAGTCATTGCTTTGTTTGTTTGCTTAGATTTTGTGTTTTGAATGATTTTCTGTATATGAAATCCAAAATAGGTCAATCTTTAGAAACAGTAACTGTATTAATAATTTCCTAGGGGCATGACAGGGGAAGATGGGGGAAATGGGCAGCTAACCACAATGAGTACAAGAAGAAAATGTTCTGAAATTAGTTGTAATGATTGTACAAATCTTAATGTGATTGAATTATTAAATTGTGTGATACGTGAAGTATTTACCAATAGAACTTTTTTTTAAAAGTATTGCCACCAAATTTTGGAAACCTTTATTAAACAAAAATATAAGAATCTGAAGCTGTATTTCTGCTCACATCCATCTAGGTCTATACCTTCCTGAATGTTTCCGTCTCTAACCCTTCTTTCAAAGAAACCTGCACACTTTGATTTATACCTCATCAGAACAGCAGTGTGGGCATCCTCGGAGGATTAAAACAATGTTCCTTTTTGTAGTTCTTTGAATTGGGGGAACAGAAAGAATTCTCAAAGGGCAGGAGCAGGGCTGCAGGGTAAATTGAGTGTAATGTTTTCTACAGAATTCTTATAGGACAGCCTTCATTGCCTTTGAAGAATGAGCTCTGGTATGATGGGGGGGAAATTCCTTTGTGTAAGTTTCTTAGCCTTTTCTCACCAATGCAGTTTTTCATTTTCTTAAGACACCTTGCTAATAAACCTGTGATCATCCTGTATCCTACAAGGAAATCTATCAAGATTAGTCCTTTGAGGTCCCCCAAAATGGTTGCAGTAATCTAAGCTGACCTTTATGTCTTGAATTGAACTGGCCCAGTACAGCCCTTCAGAAGCCACTGTTTAGATTGGACCTTCTTTTGAAGGCACCCTAATAAGACTAAGTCAAGTATATTTTTTGCAACCATGGGTTACATAAGTTTTGTTTGCAAAAGCTGAGTATACTGTTTTACAAACCTTTATTCCTATTATATAATAAAATTAATTCATAATTAATGAAGCCAGCACAGACTGTATTTCCCAGGTATAATTCATATTTTTTAGAAATTTAGATTTTATAAAATTGAGAAATTTATAAAACTAGACTCATGCATACTGTTTTTCTCTCCTAGTTTTTATATATAGATGGCAAAATAATTTTCTCTAATTATATTTTAGGATATGTCAGCATATGTGAAGAAAATCCAGTTTAAATTACATGAAAGTTATGGCAATCCCTTAAGAGGTAAAGTACACTTTTGTTGTAGTTGATTTTAATTCAGTAATACATAAATTTAAAAGGAAGCAATAGTAAATCAGTACCTTTTTTCCCCTCTCTCTTTCCAGTTGTTACTAAGCCTCCATATGAAATTACAGAAACAGGATGGGGTGAATTTGAAATAATCATCAAAATATTTTTCATTGACCCTAATGAAAGACCTGTGAGTAAAAGGTTATTCTTTACAAATATAAATGATTTTATTAATTGTGGAAATATAATCTACCATGTGAGTAATTAGTTATATGTTGATATTTTCATCTAGATGTATTTTATGTAAGCATGGCATTTCTTGATATGAGTTAAGATTTTCAGTTTTAAGTGAAATTCTTTTCAAAATTACTCTCTACCCCCTTTTAGTTTTGAAGAAATAAGATATAATCTGAATATTTATTGGAAAGATAACATGACAAGTTACATGATTCTTACAGCAAAAAAATTTTTTTAATTCATTAGGATCATTTGGATATTATGGATAAGCAAGTTGGGATCCATATCTATATCTATAGATATATAGGTAGATAGATTTATACAGCACCAAGGAATAGAACAGCTAATTAGTCCACAGTACAGAGTACAGTGGTACAGAGCTTTAAAAGCACTCACACAATTAGAAAACAAAAACATATAATGTGATAATTAAAGTATAAATGTTTGATATTAAAGGAAAAAGCTGACAAAATGAAAATGAATGAGGATAAATGTGAAAGGCCTAAGACTAGTTACACTGGTCACACAAAAATGGAATGAGGCATTGAGCTGTGATTTGATAGTTAAAAACAGCTTGATATTTTTAGTCAAAAGATTGAGTACTGAAAAAAGGATGAGGTATGGCTGTGAATACCTGAGTCAGTAAGTATTCCCTAGCATGTGACTTGACCTTGGCATCCTCATCTATAATATGAAGGTACTGCCAATGTCACAAAGTTGCTGAGTTATAAAAGCAAAATTGGGGGGGCGGTGGATTTTGACAATATCAATGACAATCTAATAAGTGATCAAATGATGCCTAAGCCAGTGGTTATAAATAAGAATTCATAAGGCAAAGTACAGGTGCTGCTACTAATGTCTGCTTGGAAAAGCAAATTGCCTACTTCTATGGCATTTATGAAAATGGAACCCTGGCGGTATTGTGGGTAGTAATGTGATGGCTGTTAAATGCAAAGTTAGTTCAAAATCACCAGTCCCTCCATGGGAGAAAGATGAGAAAGATAACGAGTTACAGTCTTGGAAATCTACAGGGGCAGTTCTATTATTACTTGTGGCGTCACTATGAGCTGGCACTGACTTGATGGCAGTGGATTTGGTTTGGGTTATTATTATTAATAAAAGTTCCCATTTCAGACAGCATATGATCTTGTGATAGGTAGGTTTATTGTGCAAACCTGGCCAATAGGAACCTGTGGGATTTAGTCAGGTTGCAGTTTTATTGGAGGGCAGCGAGATACATGGCTCGGCAAGGCCTCTTGCTCTCTTGTGATTGGACCAGCATACGGTTGCTTTAGCTAGTTCTCTGCCTCAACTTGTGAGCTACATTACCTGTGGAACAACCAACCCGTGGATCCTTCGCTAGAGCTTGAGGTTCCTTTAAGATCTGCTTCACCATGCTGCTGGTGTGTATATCGCTTGAGCTTGAGGCTGGTAGATCCTGTCATCTTGCATTGTTTGAGTTCATCACTTCATCCAGGCCTGCTTCACTAAGCTCCTGAGCTGCTGACTGTTGGTGATCCGTCCTGCTGTTTGCTGCCTGCATTGGCCGAGGGAAGACTTAGCTGGCTACTTCCTTGACCTTAGACCTGGCAGCCCCCATGAGTTGAAGGGCTTCAAGTATATTAACTGTTCCACAGAAGTGAGTTGAAATGAGAGCGCTCTGTACTGCTGTGTGGGTGCTTTTAAATCGTATAAACTGGGCTAATGATTCAAAAAATTAGTTCTTAACTGGGTACATAAAAAATACCTGTGATGCTTTTAAAAATTTTTAAATTCCTAGACAAACCTTGGAGAATCTAATTCAGTTGTTTATTATGGAGCCAGCCCCTCAGGTAGCTTTGATGCACAGATTTGGTACCAACTTGTAAAACAGACAAATGGAAATGGTGTCTGATTGCCCTGACTACACAGGTGGAAGAAGAGAATGGAACGCCTCAGCCCCAACCAGTTCATTGAGGCAGGGGTCAGCCATGTCTCCACTCACCAGCCTTTTTATCAGTTGTGATACAAGTCATCCTTCCCCACAGCACTCTTAATTTTTTTCTACAGGTTCAATATCTGTTACAATGGCTGCACAGAACTGACCAACATGACTTAATGGTTATAGGTTTTATTAGAGAAATTTAAGAGGTGTAATGCAGTGAATTATTGAATATAAGTCTGTCTGTAGGCATGGCCTCTGTATTTCCCACCAATCTTTTCCTAAGTGGTCTTGGTAAGAGAAAGTGGGGGAAGATACTAACTAATTGGCTTCAGTTGTGAGTGCCCATTAACAGGATTCATTGTGCTGGATATACAACATTTTTCCCTCTAGGCGAGCATCAAGCAACTCATTCTGAGTTAGTGCACCCAGTGGTATTGCCTGGGAAGATTCTCTTTAGTTACAGTGAATTTTTTTGTAAAACCAGTTGCGCTCAAACCTCATTTTTTGTGATGGGCAATTTAAGAGAACAGCGTGCGGCTGTGAAATTTTGTTTCCTGCTTGGGAAAAATGCCACAGAAACTGTTCTGATGTTTAACACAGCTTACAAGGACAGTGCTATGGGGCAAATTCAAGTGTACAAATGGTTTTCTCATTTCAAAAAAGGACAAACCTCGATCTGTATGCCTGTCAACTTCCCGAACAGATGAAAATGTCAACAAAATCCATGTACTTGTGCTCAAAGACTAAGGACGGACCATTGAAGACATGGGGAAGTTATCTGAATTATCTTGGAGCTCAGTTCAGCAAATTTTAATGGAAGATTTGGGAATGAGAAGGGTGGCTGCGAAATTTGTGCCTCGGATTCTGACTAACCAGGAAAAAGCATCTCCTGGAACCATGCTGTGCTTTGAAAGAACAGCTCCAAAGCCACTCAGACTTTTTCCCCCAAGGTCATTTACTGATGATGAGACATGGTGCTATTCTTACGATCTTGAAAGCAAACATCAATCAAGCCAGTGGAAGACGCCATGGTCACCTCACCCCCAAAAAACTTGTCAAGTGAAATCAAAATCAAGATGATGTTCATTTGTTTTTTGGTGTTTTGTTGTTGTTGTTATGTGAAGGGGATAGTGTGCATTTGGAGTTAGTTCCACCAGGTCAGACTGTTAATCAAGTTTTCTATTTAGAGGTTCTGAAAAGATTGCCTAACAATGTGGGACAAAAAAGGCCTGGTTTCTGGTAGACGGGACTGGCTTTGCCACCACGACAATGCATCTGCTCTTGCAGCCATCTCAGTATACCAGTTTTGGGTAAAAAGGGGCATGCCTTTCTTGCCCCACACACCTAACCTCACTCTGTGTGACATTTTTGTTTCTGCAAATGAAGAAGGACATGAAAGGACAGCGATTTGATGACATAGAAGAGGTGAAAAAAACAAGGGAGGTGCTATCAGCCATCCAAACAGATGAGTTTTAAAAATGTTTCCAAGAATGGAATTGCAGATTCGATAAATGTATTATGTGTAATGAAGAGTACTTTGCAGGTAATTAGGTTGTTTTGTAAAAAATTTAAATGCATAACTTAAAAAAGCAATTATGGTTTTTTAGGGAGTACCACCTCATAAAATGAGCCATCTCCGATGCAGGAGTGGGGAATCTCACTACCAACAAAAGAGAAATGGCAAGTGTCTTTTGGACCCTGAGATCTCTGAGCAGAGGACCTTATTGGTCTAGTGAGACAGTTTTGACATCAGAGGAGTGGTAGAGGAGCAGCAGCAGCGGAACCAGGAGCCAGATCATGAGATGGAACAAGTAAAGCTGGAGTGCCCTTGGGCAGGAGGTTGACGTGAGTGGAGTGTACCTGGGCAGTTAATGGAGGAGCTGAGTTTTGCTGACCTATAGAGCTGGAGCTGAAGCTGACTGACTTTGGGTTAAGGCTTATAGCAGAGTGGCATGCTGTGATAGTTTATTATGCCAACTAGGCCAATAGGAACATGTGGGATTAATCAGGTCACAGTTTGATTGGAGGGCAAAGAGATAAATGGCTGTGCAAGGCCCGCCCCCCTCTCTCTTGCTTTCTGGTGTTACTGAAGCATGCTGCTGCTTTAGTTAGTTCTTGGCCTCGACCTGTGTTTTACACTACCTGTGGGCCAAGCCAACCCATGGATTGTGTCACTAAGACTTGAGGCTCCTTCAAGACCTGCTTTGTCTCATTGCTACACTTCTTGAGCTTGAGGCTGGTGGATCCTGTCACCGTGCTTGGGTTCAAGATTCCATCAAGGCCTGCTTCACTGAGCTCCCTAAATACTGACTGCTGCTGATCCACACTGCTGTCTGCTTCCTTCACCTTGGACCTGGTAGCCCACATGAGTTGAAGGACTTCCAGTATATTAACTGTTCCATGAAAGTGAGTTGAACTGAGGCCTCTGTAATGCTGTGTGGACTAATTCACTGTTACAGTAAAGCATGGCAGAGTCTTGCCCAAGAGGCCAAGCATCAGAAAGTAGCCTTTTAGTGCTATCAATAAATGCCCACAGAGCACTCCACTCCATCATAAGCCTTAGCCAAAAAGCGCTCAGCACTAGATCTGTGGGTCTGCAAACCAGGCTCCCTCACTGAAATGCCTGGAGGTGCCCCACTCTGCAAGTGAGTCTCCTGATTCAAGGCACTCCGCTTTATTCGCTCCTTGGACCTGAATTCTCATTCTCTGGCTCTTGGCTCTGCTGCTACTTGTGTTCCGATATCACAGCTTTAAATTAACTGGTTTCATTTCCTTTGGAAATTACCCTCCCCGCACCCAGTGTTGGATTTCTCAAAATAAATTAGTGTCCATTAGCTCCCAGTGGTGACATATGGTCCATTTTTTTCCATTTGTTTTTCATTTTGCTTGATGAAACATTTCAGAAATGTTGTCTCTGAAATAGACTTTCTGAATCATTGCCTATCTGAAAAATGTCCTTATGTTCATAGTAATGAATTGTTGGGTGTAAAATTCTAAGTTCCAGAGGGGACTGTGCTGCCTATATTGTG